GAAGACCATATTTGTACAAGTATCTCTTTATAGTGGAATAGTGACCACAACTCCAGTGTCTGCCAGATCTTTCTGGAGGGATCGTGCAGTCAAACGTGGGTTTTGAATTGTTTTTTCTCACAATCCTGCGAGCTGTTCTGTCTGATATTTTTCTTGGTCTTCCAGATCTTGCTTTAACTTCCACTATTCCTGATGACTGCCATTTCTTAATTACATTCCGAACAGAGGATAGTGACATCTGAAAACGCTTTGCTATCTTCTTATAGCCTTCTCCAGCTTTGTGAGCGTCAACTATTTTCAGTTTCAGTTTTCTAGACAACTGCTTAGAAGAACCCATGGTGCTGATTGTTGGGGCAAGGTCAGATGAGTCTGGGCATTTAAAACCTTTGAGATTGACATCACCTGGTCTTCCCAGACGATGATTGAGAACAATCCATGACACTGGCAGGTCTCAGCTTGGCAAAGGGGGCAGTGCATGCTATAAATTCTGCAGGGGGCCCAAACTTTTGCAGACGCCATTTTTTTGTTTTCTGTTATTTTGAAAGTGTAAATGATGGAAATAAAATCTAACTTTTGTTGACATATTATAAGAATGTCTAATCTGTAATTTGATGCCTTTTGGAGATTTTTCCATCTTTCCTTGGCTTCTTTATGCACATTAATACAAATTTTTAGCTGGGGTGCCCAAACTTTCCATCCCCACTGTATATACAGCGGGTGAAGTAAGTATTGAACATGTCACCATTTTTCCCAGTAAATATATTTCTGAAGGTGCTATTGACATGAAATGTTCACCACGTGCCGGCAACAACCCATGGAATCCATACAGAGAAACCAAAACAAATCACTTATTTTACCCATTATATATATATAATAATAAAAAGATAATATGCGAGCGCTATCCGGAGATCTCAAAGCGGCTAGAACACCAAAAGGTAACCAAGAGAGAACCTTCCTATAAAGTACATAAACATCTATATATCTAAAACCATATATAAGGTGCAGCGCTATAATAGTAAAATGACATATATAACATATTAAATATATATAATAAAGTGCAAATGTCAAATCACACTGCGGTGAGGTTAAGTGAGATGAACAAGTCCCAAAATAGGTCAAACGTGGGGATCCAATAGATCCTAGTAGGTGCGTGGGATGAGATTCTGCGTATCACACGGTGAATCTGGGGTAAAAAATTGCGCACTCACCAGAAGTGCGTCAAAAAAACGCATGTGAGATTTATCCTGTGGTATCAGATAGCGATCATCAATTGCCAAGATAGAGACAGGATCCTACACCTTCCAATCGCAACTTGGGTACGTACATCAAATTTCATATGCGTGTCACCATCCGGGGTCCCCTTTTAGAGCAGATTCTGCCAGTGGGGGGCTGCAGTATGTGGACGTCTGACTACCGCAGGTGGTCATCCTGATTATTATCTGGTCAGTGTTGCATTTGCATTTTACCTTCACAATTCATGTTGTACCTCAGTTTATACGGTATCACACTATGTGGTGTCCCTTATTGGTCTCCCTTCTATGAGAGTCCCCACTTGCAGAATCTGCTGTAAAAGGGGACCCCGGATGGTGACACGCCTGAGACACGCATATGAAATTGGAAGTACATACCCAAGGTGCGATTGGAAGGTGTAGGATCCTGTCTCTATCTTGGCAATTGATGATCGCTATCTGATACCACAGGATAAATCTCACATGCGTTTTTTTTGACGCACTTCTGGTGAGTGCGCAATTTTTACCCCAGATTCACCGCGTGATACGCAGAATCTCATCCCACGCACCTACTAGGATCTATTGGATCCCCACGTTTGACCTATTTTGGGACTTGTTCATCTCACTTAACCTCACCGCAGTGTGATTTGACATTTGCACTTTATTATATATATTTAATATGTTATATATGTCATTTTACTATTATAGCGCTGCACCTTATATATGGTTTTAGATATATATATATATATACAGTATATATATTCATTAAGTGTTGTTGCCTGGCGACCCCTTCCTGTTATCTCACATATATATTTTTATTATTATAGCCAAATTTACCCCCCTAACTCCTCCCACATTTACCCCCTGACTCCTCCCACAGCTCTTACACTCCATAGACAGTAATATACGGAAACGTGCGGATTGTTCCCGATTGGTGGGCTATTACTTTGTGGAACGTTTCCCCGAATGGTTCACGAAATATCGCCGTTTTTGTGGTGAAATTGGTCCCATAGGAATGAATGGCGGAATGTTCAAAGTGTGAGCTGACAAAAACTAGAGTGTGAGCTGAAAAATCAGGACATGATATCTAAACTGCCATCACTCCCTCATTTTCCAGCCCACCTACACAAATCTTATATCAAAACGTTCAGCTATCCCGGCTGCCACTAAAAATGTCCACGGCTAAGCCATAGTCCTGATAGTTTTCACAATATGACCATTTGTTTGCAACTCACGCCGCCCATTGACATTCATTGAAACTCCACTCTAGCCACCTCAAATTTGAAGGGCAATTTCTAAACTGCGGCTGTGCCTTCATTTATAATATTTCAGAATATAAAGCTCTTCGGTGTAGGATTTATAATTTTTAAACTACAACTGTTTGAAGATTGCAACCGCCAGAGTGAGCAAGTTGGAGCAGTTTGTTTTTAACCGCTCTTCTCTGCCCTTGCTGTAGGGGGAGTTGCCATAGGAACCCAGGGTGAGTGAGCAGCCAGCAGAGTGACAAAAGCCAGAGTGTGAGTTGTAGACTATTGGTGGAGGCAGAACACTTCACACAATTCCCCAGAAATTGGAGCTTTTCTAGTTCTTTCTGCTATGGGAAGAAACCTCCCGCCTAGATCAGGGGTGTCAGACTCCATGTTATCGGGGGACACATCACCATTATGGCTGGCCTCAAAGGACTGCTCATCTCTGTAGGACTAGATGTCCAGCAGCACCCCCCCCACCACCATCACCACCATCAGGAGTCATGTCACCCACCCTCCCTTACATCACAGTGCACCCCCCCACCACCACCACCACCACCCACCATCAGGAGTCATGTCACCCACCCTCCCTTACATCACAGTGCACCCCCCCCCCCCACCACCACCACACCACCACCATCAGGAAGTCATGTCACCCACCCTCCACATCACACAGTGCACCCCCCCCCCCACCACCACCACCACCACCATCAAAAGTCCACCCACCCTCCAGGACACCACCCCCACCCCCACACATCACAGTGCACCCCCCCCCACCACCCCCCCACCACCACCACCCCACCACCACCATCAGAAGTCATGTCATGTCACCCCCCCACCCTTACATCACACCCACCCAACCCACCCACCCCACCACCACCACCCCCACCCACCACCACCACACCACCATCACCATCAGAAGTCATGTCACCCACCCTCCCTTACATCACAGTGCACCCCCCCCCCACCACCACCACTACCCACCACCACCATCAGAAGTCATGTCACCCACCCTCCCTTACCTCACAATGCACCCCCCCCACCACACCACCACCACCACCACCACCATCAGGAGTCATGTCACCCCACCCTCCCTTACATCACAAGCACCCCCCCCCCCCCCCCACCACCACCACCACCACCATCAGAAGTCATGTCACCCCCCCTCCCTTACATCACAGAGCACCCCCACCCCACCACCCACCACCACCACCACCATCAGAAGTCATGTCACCACCCACCCTCCCTTACATCACAGAGCACCCCCCCCCCCACCACCACCACCACCACCATCAGAAGTCATGTCACCCACCCTCCCTTACATCACAGAGCCCCCCTCCCCCACCACCACCACCACCACCACCACCATCAGGAGTCATGTCACCCACCCTCCCTTACATCACAGTCACCACCCCCCCCACCACCCCCCACTACCACCACCACCACCACCATCAGAAGTCATGTCACCCACCTTCCCTTACACACATGACAACCCCCCCCCACCACCACCACCACCACCAAAACACCATCACCATCAGAAGTCATGTCACCCCCCTCCCTTACATCACAATGCACCCACCCCACCACCCCCACCACCACCACCACCACCACCACCATCAGGAGTCATGTCACCCACCCTCCCTTACATCACAGAGCACCCCCCCCCCCACCCACCACCACCACCACCATCAGGAGTCATGTCACCCACCCTCCCTTACATCACAGAGCACCCCCCCCCCCCACCACCACCACCACCAACCACCACCATCAGGAGTCATGTCCACCCACCCCTCCCTTACATCACAGTGCACCCCCCACCACCACCATCAGAAGTCATGTCACCCACCCTCCCTTACATCACAGTGCACCCCCCCCCCCCACCACCACCACCACCATCAGAAGTCATGTCACCCACCCTTCCTTACATCACAGTGCACCCCCCACCACCACACATCATCAGAAGTCATGTCACCCACCCTCCCTTACATCACAGTGCACCCCCCCCCCACCACCACCGCCACCATCATCAGAAGTCATGTCACCCACCCTCCCTTACATCACAGTGCACCCCCCCCCCCCACCACCACCATCATCAGAAGTCATGTCACCCACCCTCCTTTAGATCATAGTGCACCCCGCTTACATTGTGCCGCTGCCAAGAAGAAGCTGGGGGTGAAGAAGAAAGTGCAGGGTCTGGAGGAGGACCAGGGGAGAGCTGGAGTCACTCTGATGAATGCTGAGACGAGGAGAGGGGGACATGAGGGGGTGCTGCAGCAGCTAAAGAGGTGGGAGGACCACATGAAATGGCCTGGCGGGTCAGATTTGGCCTTCTGGTCTTGTGTTTAACACGTGTCCTACAGGAACCCTTCAGATCATTGTCAGGACTGAGAGAACCAAAACTAATTTTTTACATTGGGGGTCAGTGGGAAGAATGTCCCTTACATTGGTGATCAGTGGGAAGAATGTCCCTTACATTGGGGGTCAGTGGGAAGAATGTCCCTTACATTGGGGGTTAGTGGGAAGAATGACCCTTACATTGGAGGTCAGTGAGAAGAATGTCCCTTACATTGGTGATCAGTGGGAAGAATGTCCCTTACATTGGAGGTCAGTGGGAAGAATGTCCCTTACATTGGGGGTCAGTGGGAAGAATGTCCCTTACATTGGAGGTCAGTGGGAAGAATGTCCCTTACATTGGGGGTCAGTGGGAAGAATGTCCCTTACATTGGGGAGTCAGTGGGAAGAATGTCCCTTACATTGGGGATCAGTGGGAAGAATGACCCTTACATTGGTGGTCAGTGGGAAGAATGTCCCTTACATTGGGGGTCAGTGGGAAGAATGTCCCTTACATTGGGGGTCAGTGGGAAGAATGTCCCTTACATTGGTGATCAGTGGGAAGAATGTCCCTTACATTGGGGGGTCAGTGGGAAGAATGTCCCTTACATTGGAGGTCAGTGGGAAAGAATGTCCCTTACATTGGGGATCAGTGGGAAGAATGACCCTTACATTGGTGATCAGTGGGAAGAATGTTCCTTACATTGGTCAGTCAGTGGGAAGAATGTCCCTTACATTGGGGGTCAGTGGGAAGAATGTCCCTTACATTGGGGGTCAGTGGGAAGAATGTCCCTTACATTGGTGATCAGTGGGAAGAATGTCCCTTACATTGGTGATCAGTGGGAAGAATGTCCCTTACATTGGGGATCAGTGTGAAGAATGTCCCTTACATTGATGGTCAGTGGGAAGAATGTCCCTTACATTGGGGGGTCAGTGGGAAGAATGTCCCTTACATTGGGGTCAGTGGGAAGAATGTCCCTTACATTGGTAATCAGTGGGAAGAATGTCCCTTACATTGGAGGTCAGTGGGAAGAATGTCCCTTACATTGGGGGTCAGTGGGAAGAATGTCCCTTACATTGGTGATCAGTGGGAAGAATGTCCCTTACATTGGGGGTCAGTGGGAAAGAATGTCCCTTACATTGGGGGTCAGTGGGAAGAATGTCCCTTACATTGGGGGTCAGTGGGAAGAATGTCCCTTACATTGGGGGTCAGTGGGAAGAATGTCCCTTACATTGGGGTCAGTGGGAAGAATGTCCCTTACATTGGGGGTCAGTGGGAAGAATGTCCCTTACATTGGGGGTCAGTGGGAAGAATATCCCTTACATTGGGGATCAGTGGGAAGAATGTCCCTTACATTGGGGGTCAGTGGGAAGAATATCCCTTACATTGGGGGTCGGTGGGAAGAATGTCCCTTACATTGGGGGGTCAGTGGGAAGAATGTCCCTTACATTGGAGGTCAGTGGGAAGAATGTCCCTTACATTGGGGGTCAGTGGGAAGAATGTCCCTTACATTGGGGTCAGTGGAAGAACGTCCCTTACATTGGGGGGTCAGTGGGAAGAATGTCCCTTACATTGGGGGTCAGTGGGAAGAATGTCCCTTACATTGTTGGTCAGTGGGAAGAATGTCCCTTACATTGTTGGTCAGTGGGAAGAATGTCCCTTACATTGGAGGTCAGTGGGAAGAATGTCCCTTACATTGGTGGTCAGGAGGAAGAATGTCCCTTACATTGGGGGTCAGTGGGAAGAGTGTCCCTTACATTGGTGGTCAGAATGCCCCGATTGGGTTGCGTTGGTGTCCTAGTCATGAATAGTCTCCCTTAACACAACACCCATTAACTCGTGACCTATCACACTTGACCGCACCCCAGCTGCAAGGAGAATTGTGATTGGACCCTCCAGAATCCAGGTTATCCCTCGATGACTGTGCCCCAGGCTGGGTCTTCTCCCTCCTCCGACTCTCCCGTATTTCCTATGTAACTTGCTGGCAGCGGTGAGCTCCGGGATCAAACGGCGATCTTTACGCCCTTTGTTTGGCGCTCCGTCTCCCATCCTCTATCAGCGGGGAACAGGGGGCGGAGCCAAGAAGTGTTGAGGAACGTCTGATGTTTAAAGGTCAGCGGCTGATCTTTGTCCCGAAGGATAACGAATTCATCCTGCAAATGAAGTGATTTTCCTCCCGTCGTCGTTGCAGCGTCTGCCTTTTTTTTATTTTTTTAATTCTCTTCAGCCTTGAGCCCCGGAGCGCCTCGTGAGCTCCTCCGTCATCGAAATGTGAGCGGTAATTGAGGCCTTGAAATATCACGGCGCACTTGGCTAGATTCGGAGGAGATTGCAGTTTGTTGGGACCCATAAAATATACTATTTATATCTCTTTGACGAAAGAGGATGTCCAAAGGCAATATTAAAAAATAAAAATTAAAAAAAAATAAATAAATATTTTCCAGCAGTTGTAATGGCCGCCGCTTAACCCCTCGCCTACCGGGCACTTATACCCCCTTCCTTACCAGGCCAATTTTCAGCTTTCAGCGCTGCCTCACTTTGATTGACAATTGCGCAGTCATGCAACATTGTACCCATATGAAATTTTGATCCTTTTTTTCTCACAAATAGAGCTTTCTTTTGGTGGTATTTAATCGCCCTGCTGGGCGCTTTACTTTTTGCGCTATAAATTAAAAAATGCAAAAAATTTGAAAAAAAAAAAAGTTTCTTTGTTTCTAATATAAAATTTTTCTCCTTTACTGATGTGCGTTGATGAGGCAGCACTGATGGGCACTGATAGGCGGCACTGATGGGCACTGATAGGCAGCACTGATGGGCACTGATAGGCAGCACTGATGGGCACTGATAGGCACTGATAGGCAGCACTAAAGGGCACTGAAAGGCAGTACTAATGAGGTGGCACGGATAGGCGGCACTAATATGCAGCACTGATAGGTGGCACTGATAGGTGACACTGATGATGGGTACTGATAGACGGCACTGACACTGGCATCACTGCTGGGCACTGACTGGCGGCACTGACTGGCACAACCGCTGGGCACTGACTGGTGGCACTGACTGGTAGCACTGCTGTGCTGCACTGGTGGGTGCACTGGTGGGTGGCACTGGTGGGGGTGGGTGTCACTGGTGGGCACAGGTGGGTGTCACTGGTGGGCACAGGTGGGTGGCACTGGTGGGCACAGGTGGATGGGCACAGGTGGGTGGCACTGCTGGGCACAGGTAGGTGGCACTTTGGGCACAGGTGGGTGACACTGCAGAGTGGCACAGGTGGGTGGGCACAGGTGGGTGGCACTGCTGGGCACAGGTGGGTGGGCACAGGTGGGTGGCACTGCTGGGCACAGGTGGGTGGCACTGCTGGGCACAGTGGGTGCACTGCTGGGCACAGGTGGGTGATCTGCTGGGCACAGGTGGGCGGAGCTAGTGGGCGCACTGCTGGGCACAGGTGGGCAGAACTTGCGGGTGGCACTGCTGGGCACCGATCATCAGGGCACTGTTCATCAGTGCCCTGATGATCGGTGCCGATCCCCGCTCTGACAACTGCCGGTTCTCGGCAGTACTTTCCTCACGATCTGACAGCGTGAGGAAAGTGCAGCCGAGAACCGGCACTTGCATTTCCCTCTGATCAGCGTGTCATTGGACACCGCTGATCAGGTGGTAAAAGGCCGCTGTGATTGGCCTTTTTACCACATCACGTGATCAGCTGTGTCCATAGGACACAGCGATCACGGAGATCGCCCGGGGTGTGCGCCCCCTGGGGCGCGCAGGAGAGCACGTTCTGGGGGGACGTCATATGATGTCCACCCAGAACTGGCCGGCCGCGGTGAAGCCGTCATTCGGGTATCTGCGGTCGGCTACTAGTTAAATGTTGTCTATTTCTGTGCAGCTGAACCTCGGTGTTCCGGTAGACACGTGTGATCGTCCATTCTCAGATTGTGTCCTCGGAGCCCGTATGGAAAGAAATATATTTTCAATATATTTAGAAAAAAAAAATGATACATGCGACCTATGTTTACAATATGTCGCCCTGCGCGAATATATTTTCACATGTATTCCAAAAATGTCAATTAAAATCTATTTTCCAAAGCCATATATTTAAAAATATATTTTTCAAAATATATTTTCCAGATTTTTTTTGAACATCTAAAAAAAAAAAATTAAACGTAGATTTTTAAATATACTTGTAAAGGCATTCTAAATGACACTTAGATATTTATTGCAGCGTGTGTTCTGAATATATAGTATTTTTAATATATTGAAATATATTTTTTAAATATATTTAATATGGCACGTGTGATCGTCCATTCCCAGATAGTGTCCTCAGAGCCCGTGTGGAAGAGAAATATATTTTCAATATATTTAGAAAAAAAATTATACATGTGACATCTATTTACAATATATCGGCCTGCGCGAGTATATTTTAACATGTATTCCAAACATTTAAATTAAAATATATTTTCCAAAGGCATATATTAAAAAATATATTTTTCAAAATATATTTTCCAGATATTTTTGAACATCTAAAAAAAGCATTTAAATATAGATTTTTAAATATTTTTGTAAATGCATTCCAAATGATATATAATTTGATATATATTGCAGTGTGTGTTCTGAATATACAGTATTTTTAATATATTCACAAATATATTTTTGAAATATATATTTAATATGGCACGTGTGATCGTCCATTCCCAGATAGTGTCCTCAGAGCCCATGTGGAAGAGAAATATATTTTCAATATATTAAAAAAAAAATGATACATGGGACATCTATTTACAATATATTGGCCTACACTAATATATTTTATCATGTATTCCAAACATTTAAATTAAAATATATTTTCCAAAGGCATATATTAAAAAATATATTTTTCAAAATATATTTTCCAGATATTTGTGAACATTTAAAAAAAAAAAACATTTAAACATAGATTTTTAAATATACTTGTAAATGCATTCCAAAAGACACTTTGATATTTATTGCAGTGTGTGTTCCAAAAATACAGTATTTTTAATATATTCACAAATATATTGAACTATATTTTTGAAATATATTGAATATGGCACGTGTGATCGTCCATTCCCAGGGAGTGTCCTCAGAGTCCATGTGGAAGAGAAATATATTTTCAATATATTTGGAAAAAAAAAAAATTATACATGCAACCTATATTTACAATATATCGGCCTACGTGAATATATTTTCATGTGTATTCCAAAAATGTAAAATTAGAATATATTTTCCAAATATTTTTGAACATCTAAAAAAAAAGCATTTAAATATAGATTTTTAAATATTCTTGTAAATGCATTCCAAATGATATATAATTTGATATATATTGCAGTGTGTGTTCTCAATATACAGTATTTTTAGTATATTCACAAATATATTTTTTAAATATATTGAATATGGCACGTGTGATCGTCCATTCTCAGATAGTGTCCTCAGAGCCCATGAGGAAGAGAAATATATTTTCAATATATTTGGAAAAAAAAATTATACATGCAACATCTATTTACAATATATCGGCCTACGCGAATATATTTTCACATCTATTCAAAAAATGTCAATTAGAAATATATTTTTCAAAGGCATATTTTTAAAAATAATATTTTTAAAAATATATTTAAAAATATACTTGTTTCAAAATATATTTTCCAGATATTTTTGAAAATCTAAAAAAAAAACATTTAAACGTAGTAATTTTTAAATATTCTTGTAAATGCATTCCAAATGACACTGATATATATATTGCAGCGTGGGTTCTCAATATACAGTATTTTTAATATATTCACAAATATATTTTTGAAATATATATTGAATATGGCACGTGTGATCGTCCATTCCCAGATAGTGTCCTCAGAGCCCATGGGGAAGAGAAATATATTTTCAATATATTAAAAAAAAAAATGATACATGGACCATCTATTTACAATATATTGGCCTACACTAATATATTTTTATCATGTATTCCAAACATTTTAATTAAAATATATTTTCAAAGGCATATATTAAAAAAATATATTTTTCAAAATATATTTATTTGTGAACAGTTTTAAAAAAAAATATATTTTTTAAATATAATGCATTCCAAAAAACACTTTGATATTTATTGCAGTGTGTGTTCTTCTAAAAATACAGTATTTTTAATATTCACAAACATTGTATTGAACTTTATTTTTTTGGCAAATATTGAGTCTATGGTAAATGCATGTCCATATCCCAGAATAGTGTCCTCAGAGTCCATATTTGGAAGAGACAATATATTCTCTCAAATTTGGAAAAAAAAATTATACATGCAAAGACTACCTTTTACAATATAACGTGAATATATTTTCATGTGTTTTCCAAAAATGTAAATTAGAATATATTTTCCAAAGGCAATTTTATCGTCTCTATATTTAACTAATATTTGTTCTCAAATATATTTAAATAATATATATTTCTAAATATATTTTCCAAATATTTTTGAACAAAAAAGCATTTAATTATAGATTTTTAAATATTCTTGTAAATGCATTCCAATGATATATAATTTACAATTATTTGGGCATTGTGTTCTCAATTTACAGTATTTTTAGAATATATTTTTACATTAATATGTATTACACACACACCAAAAGATAATGTCCTCAGAAGTGGCCCATTAGAAATATATTTTCTAAAAAAAAATTTTAAAGGCTAAATTCTATTTAAAATATATCGGGCCTATATTTTCACATCTAAATCAATAGAATATATTTTTCAAAGGCATATTTTTAAATATATATTTTTCAAAATATTTTTAAAAATATATTTTTTCTAAAATATATTTTCCAGAATAT